GGAGCACTCTTGAACCATCTTGGAGGGATCTTGGCGGCCTCGTGGCCCTTCTTGGGGCTCTCTGGACGGCCACGGGGGCGGCGCCCAGGAGGAACACCGTCTCTGACCCGACCCTGCCGGGGATCGCCCGGGGTACTTTTCGTCCGGGGACCCCCAGGGGCCGCCCCACGCGCGCGAAGTAGAAGTATTATCAGGAGGAGGAAAAACACACAGACACAATTAATCATCGACCCCCCAGAAAATATGGGAAAATATGGGAAGTGGTGGGGAAGACAAAAACCCAGAAAATATGGGAAAATATGGGGAATCGTTTTATTTGTGTGTATTTATTTGTGTGTCCCAGGGCCCCTTCATATTTAGCAGTTACCAGAGATCTTAGCACGCCTCTGGCCCGTTGGGCCGGCGAATTTTGAGTCGAGGAACAACTGGTGGGCGCTGTTGGCCTTTGCGGCCGACGGGGAGCCTCCCGGAGGCCCAGGGCAAAGACCCAGCACGCCCAAGAGCCTCGAGCCTCGGCCTTCCTCATGCCCCCCCCCCCCTTCCCCTCCCCCTCCCCTCCTTGGGCCAATCCCCCCTCCATCACCTCTCCCTCCCCCTCCTGCCCCCTCCACAATATTACTCCATATGAATACTACTCTCCCTCTGCCCCTGATGACGGAATGGGAGCAGCCGACCCCCCCCCCCCGCGTACTGTTTTTTACACAGGTTCCCCCAGAGTTGGGTTTTCGCCCGCAATTTTTCCAAAATGCTGCTCTCGCTGAGGCGCCGGCCTCATTTTCGGGCCCCGCTCGTTCCGAATCGTGCTCCCGCTGCAGCGTTGGTCTCATTTTCGGATCGGTGTTTTACCTCCGTCGTTCAGGATGGCGTTCTCGCCCCAGCGCGGGCCTCTTTCTCGCGCGCCCATCCGCCCGCCACCACCGCACCGCGCCCCGCCCCGCCCACCGCCACTTCCACCCACCAACTCACGCACGCACGCACGCACGCGCCCCGCCACCACCACCCCACTACCCCACCCACCACCACCACGCTACACCGCGTCACACCACATCACACGCGCGCGCACACAGACACACACGCACGCACGCACGCACGCACGCACGCACGCACGCACGCACGCACGCACGCACGCACGCACGCACGCACGCACGCACGCACACACACACACACACACACACAGACACAGACACACACACACACACACACACACACACACACACACGCACACACACACGCGCACACACACGCACACACACACACACACACTTACACACGCACACACACACGCACACACACACCACCACCACCACCGCCACCACCACCACCGCCATCACGCACGCACGCACCTGGCCCACCACCAAACCACCAAGACGCCACACCACGTCACACCACAGCACACGCGCACTCACGCACACGCACACACACACACATACACACACACCACCACCACCACCACCACCACCACCACCACAACCACAACCACAACCATAACCACAACCATAGCCACAACCACGCACACACGCACGCACGCACGCGCACCACCACCCACTACGCTCGCGCGCGCGGAGCCACAGGTCCGCTACGACACGCGTCCGCGAATAGAGAAACTCAGCGCCATGGTCAGGGATGGGAGGGAGGGGTAGGACGTCAGATATGACGCGAGCGCACATAGCTTGCCCCTCCCCCCTCCCCCCTCCTCTCGCCCTCCCCGCCCCCTCCCCCCCAATCTCCTTCCCCCCCCCCTCCCAGGGTCAATTCCTATCCGATCGATCGGATTCGACCCGACTCGACATCGACCTCGGCCGGCCCGACTCGATCTCGGCCGATCTGGTCTGATTTCCACCCCGTGCCGCTGCAGCTCAGGAGGGAAAAAAACACACAGACACAATTAATGGTCGATTTCTCAGAAAATATAGGAAAATATGGGAAGTGGGGGGGAAGACAAAAAACCCAGAAAATATGGGAAAATATGGGGGATATTTTTATTTGTGTGTATTCATTTGTGTGTTCCAGTTCCCCTTCAGCAGCCCTGACCCGAGGCTCGATCCGCTGTCCCGACGCAGCGCTGACTGAGCTGCGAGGCGCACGGCCCACGCCCGGGCAGGACTCGTCTCGATCGACTGCGTGGATTCGACTCGGCCCCTGGCTGCCTCCAGGTCAGGTCAGCCCGCTGCGGTTCCAGCACACCGAAGATCGCAGGCTCACGTTTCTCCCCCAGCCCCTGGCTGTTCGACGACAAATGAAGCCGCACGGAAAAGCAGGGGAATTTTAGGCACCTCGAGGGGGCCATTCGGACGCACCCCTATCGAGGATGGACGCCCCCGCATCGTATGTTCCAGGGTTGGGTCCCAATGTTTGGGTCCACTCGAAAACCCCACGAAGCCTGGGATAGGGGTCGACACATCCCCTGCTACGAAGACTTGGAGGGTCGAACTGGGCACCGAAAGAAAGGGGTATGGAGATCGATACCAACGTCTGCTCATAATGAGACGGACTTGGTGTCGGTGCCGCCGCGGGCGTTGCCCATTTGAGGCAGAAGGCCGCCTGCCCGACAGTGGCCGTCGTCGACTTCGGACAGCATCGGTTGTTGCGCATCGTGCCCATACAGTCGGTGCGCTGAAGAAGGAACCCTTTTCGTTGTGGAGGGGCTCCGTGTTTCTTAATTGTTTCACAGCTTGCCTCAGGGTTTCCTTCTGTTGTCGATGGGAAATCGAAGTTTAACTTATGGAAAAAAGGGGCCTCGTTCCTTATTTAGGGTTCTTTAGGTCAACGCCCCGACTGTACTTTCCGTGCCCATCTCGGGCGTCCTGAGAAAACCCAACGAAGCTTGGGACAGGGGTGGACATATCGACAGATTCCCTGTAACGAAAGACCTGGAGGGTCGAAGTGGGTACGGGATGAAATGGGCACGAAGACCGGTAGTGCCCGTTGTCAGGTCTGGGCCTGTTGCGCATCGTACCCATGTTTTCCGTGCCTCTCTCGGGCGTCCAGAGAAGATCCCACACCGCCTCTGTGCTCGCACGGCGTTGCTCTGCCTCTTGGCACGGCCGATCCGATCCGCTTCCCCACTCCGCGCCGCTGCGGCCAGACCCGGCGCTGTTCCCAGCGGCGGCATCCGGTCCCTGCCCTCGCCGATCAACGATGAGGTCGGTGGCCAGCGGGGGTATAGGGTCCCCAGCTCGCCGAGCAGGTGGCGAGGTCCAACCCCTCCCCTCCCCTCGTGCCGATGCGGCCAGGCCCGGCGCACTTCCCGGCGGCGAGATCCGAACCCTACCCTCGCCGATCACCCATGAGCTCCATGGGCGTCGGGGGTGGTCTAGGCCTCCCAGATGGGGTCGGAGGATCGCGCCGCATCGCCGATGTGGAGCCCGATTGTCTTCACGCCGGCGTCGCCGATGCATCGCCGACGTCGCCGATGCATCGCCGATGCATCGCCGACGCATCTGCGATGCATCGACGATGCCCTGCGATCCGCGGATCCCATTTACTCGGACCCCATCTAGGATTCCTCTAGGTAGGCTTCGGAACTCGTCGAGCAGGTAGCGCAGCCCGAAGCCTATCCCAGCCTCCCATGGACCCAGGAGAATCGATGGTTGGTGGAGGCAGGGTTCGGATGACGCCACCGAGCGTCCCGACCCGAGCCTCGATGCTCCTATTGTCCTGCTGTCGGCGGCGCGCCGGCGGGGGAAGCGAGACGGGGCGGGCCTTCTCAGAAGGTTCGGAAGTCCCCCGGCCTTCTGAGAAGTCTTCGATGCCTGCCCCGAGGACAGCACATTTCTCAGGAGGCGCGGGGGCTTCTGAGAAGCCCCGCCGCCGCCTGAGATGACCCCCCCTCGCTCGCCGCCGACTCCGGATCATCGATCCTCCTTGATCTTAGATCCCCTCCCCGAGTCTCTTACCGGCTTGGAACATATCCCTATCCCCATGCTGGGCATCTCCTCGTCACAATGCCAATCTTAGGGATTCCCTTGTTTTCTGAGGGCGAATTCCTAAGAGTGTCATCGCCTTTTGGCGTGTCAATCTTAGGGGTAGGGATACGTTCGAGGCTGGTAAGTCTCCCCCTCCCCCCCCCGCCGCTCCTCGACGCCCCGCGGGCCGCCGCTCGAGCCCCGGAGAGGCGACGAGGAGGGCGAACATGCCCCCGGGGTGCCGAGCTTTCGGCGCGGTGCCGGCGGATCTTGCCGGGTCTCGGCCTCCTCGCTTTCCCCCTCCTCATCCTCCTCCTCCTTTCCTCCTCCCCCCTTCCCCTCCTCCTCCTCCTCCTCCTCCTCCTCCTCCTCCTCCTCCTCCTCGTCCTCCTCCTCCTCCTCCTCCTCCTCCTCCTCCCCGGGCCCCCCCGAGGCATGGAAAAACGTGGCGAAGTTTCGGCGACCAGAATCGACTAGACGTAAGAGGGACCTTTCGCGGGAGTGACCTCTGGTGCGGGCACGGATGGGCCCCCAGATGGCGGGGAACGAGGCAGGAGCAACGGCTCGCGCGCCCAGGTTTGGTCCCCACGCGGCCCCCCGAACGCCGCGCACCAGAGGTCATTCTTACCCGGGGTCGCTCTTGCGTGTGGCCGATTGAGAATGGGGGCGGTTGCGCCGGGGTGCGGTGTGCGAGTTGCTTTGTGGCGGCTTCTCCGGGGCCTTTTGTGTCAGACGATGGCAGAAGTGTCGTCGTTTCGAGCGACACCGTCAGCCCCGCTGTGTGCTCTGCTGTATGAGAGGGCCAGCGACAGTGTCATGTGATAGGGTCGCACTGTGTGACAGTGCCATCCGTTTCCCGGGGGCGGGAGGGGCAGATATGACG